TTGAGTCAATTTGCCTTTTGTTTTAATAGTTATTTGAAGTTTATTCATTGGTTAATTCCTAAGTACATTCATAAATGTTTACTTGTATTAATTAGACTGAATCATTTTAAAGTTAAAAATTATATTTTTGCATTTAATTTTTTATTCTAGTAAAACAAAATTCTTCTGTTTCATTTTTCTTACTGAAATAATAGTAAAAGACATATGCTTAGAAAGCATCTGTTTAGGCCTGGCACCGTGGCTTATGCCTATAATCCCAGCTACACGGTAGGCTGAGGATCACTTGAGCCCAGGAGGTTGAGGCTGCAGTGAGCGTGTGTCTGGGGAGTGAGCTGTTTGCACCACTGTACTCCAGCCTTTGTGACAGAATGAGACTCTGTCTCAAAAAAAAAAAAAAAAGGAAAGCATCTGTTCATCTGTTCTCTCATCTGTCAGCTTCACGTTGTGAGGCTGCTCTATGACGTTATTAACTGAAAAGATCGTATAATTTATATCATAAAATATTTACATATAAAATTGCAGTAATTCTAGGAAGAAACATACCCAAATTCTATAAAGTAGATCCAATGGAATAGGTTTTTAAATCTAAGAATTTTTAAAGAAAAGTGATAATAAAAGCTAAATTATTTCCTGAACTTTGAAACACACTCTTCTTTAATTGACAAATAAAAATTACATATATTTATGGTGTCATAATGAAGTTTTGATATTAAATTCTTGTTGTTTTCATTGCTAGTACTTCATGACCATGATTGTTTCTCTTGCTGCGGTTGCTTGGGTGGGACAACAAGTCCACAACCTGCTTCTCACCTACCTGATAGGTAAGTCTTTGAGGAAAAACTACAGGCACATCCTGGCCAGTGAAATTGAACTGTAACTTCATCAATAAACAACTTCCTAAGTTTTAGACACCGAAAAGGAACTGTGGGAATATAGAAAGATGATTATGGTCTCATAGAAAGTGAAAACAATGCAACAACTAAGGTAGAAAGTAATGCACAAACTAAGGTAGAAAGTAATAAGCAATGATTATTTTCTGAGGTGGAAGAGGGGATGAGAGCAGAAGTTTCTGGGGATACATCCCAGTGGAAGTAATTGGTTTCATGTTATTTCCTCCCATTATAGAGTTTAATAATCTGGGAACCTACCTTCTTTAAAATGTAATAATTGGCTGGGCACGGTGGCTCAGCCTGTAATCCCAGCATTTTGGGAGGCTGAGGTGGGTGGATCACTTGAGGCCAGGAGTTTGAGACCAGACTGGCCAATATGGGGAAACCCTGTCTCTACTAAAAATACAAAAATTAGTCAGATGTGGTGGTGCACACCTGTAGTCCCAGCTACTTGGGAGGCGGAGGCATGAGAATCACCTGAACCCAGGAGGCAGAGGTTGCAGTGAGCTGAGATCACACCACTGCACCACACACACACACACACACCCCCCTCCCCCCCAGATCACCTGAGGTCAGGAGTTGGAGACCGCCTGGCCAACATTGCAAAATCACGTGTGTACTAAAAATACAAAAATTAGCCGGGTGTGGTGGCAGGCGCCTATAATCCCAGCTACTCTACTTGGCAGGGTGAGGCAGGAGAATCTCTTGAACCCGGGAGGTGGAGGTTGCAGTGAGCTGAGATTGTGCCACTGTGCCACTGGGCAACAAGAGTGAGAGTTGTCGCTGTGCAAGGTGGCTCATGCCTATAATCCTAGCACTTTGGGAGGCTGAGGCGGGCGGATCACCTGAGATCGGGAGTTTGAGACCAGCCTGACCAACATGGAGAAACCCCATCTCTACTAAAAATACAAAATTAGTCGGGCGTGGTGGTGCATGCCTGTAATCCTAGCTACTTGGGTAGCTGAGGCAGGAGAATCGCTTGAACCTGGGAGGTGGAGGTTGCAGTGAGCTGAGATCAGCCATTGCACTCCAGCCTGCGCAACAATAGTGAAACTTTGTCTCAAAAAAATAATAATAATAACCTTTAGCAAGTTAATTGCTGCCTCCTTAATGTTGCTTTTTTAAAATTTATTTTAAGTGACTTCCTTGCTATTGCTTCCTGGACTAAACCAGCATGGAATCATTTCGAAGTACATTGGAATGGCCAAGAGGGAGATAAACAAACTTCTCAAACAAAAAGAAAAGAAAAATGAATGATTCATCTGCTTTAATCAGGGTGATTAGTGGCGCACCCATTGTTCCGGGAAAGGTTTCTGCTGTACTATCTGGATACTAAAATGTTACGGAAGTAGCTCTTTGCTCTTCCTCACTCTGCCCTTAGTTGATAGAAATTCAGACTCCCCAAGTAAGCCTTTGTGCAGTGTCTTCATGTTGCATATAGTTGAGTGCATTCTTAGCAGTTGGCTTCATGGACAACTCATTAGTGTGTATAATTTGTTTTTGATTTTTCTTACCCAGTGTTAATTGAATTCTTGCTTTTAGACAACTTCCTTTTGTAGTGGTGAACCTTGCCCTTTAGTACAGTTCAAGTGAATCTGGATAATTGTTCATCTTTGCTTTAGCTTAGATACCATGTAGTGGTCTGTGGCTACAGGAAGCTGGTTCTGTCTGCTTCCACAGTCTGCTTAGAAAACTGTCTGACTTCATGAATATAGAGACCAAGTTTACCACTTCTGATGAAGAGACCAATTAAGATTCATTCCTCATTCTGTTTGTTTCCGGTGGGAGAAGAGTCCCCATGAAATAAAATGAAACTGATTCCATGTGCTAGTACGTGTAGGCTTCTCCCTTCTGCAAAGCTTAGCAATTTGTAGGAAGCTTTGATCTTTTTGTCCAAAAAAAGGAATGTCTGACAGGCTTAAGCTTTTGTCCCCTTGCACTTAGACTCGAAGTTAGTAAATCCTTAAGGGCTTTTGAATAGCAGACTTCCACAAGATTACATTTAGGATTTCTAGCATACTTTTAATTTCAGATTTTCAGCTGACTTTAGCTATAGTATACAGTAGGTTAAGACTCATGTCTATGATTTTTACTCTAAGACCAGCAAAAGGACAGCAGTCTAATATGTTTAGTTAAGATTCATTTCAGTAGAAGATAATCTTATCTAATTTTTGAGACCAGAATAAGCCTTTTAAGGTAAACCTTAAAATTCTCATTTTATGGTAATACTGGCCATTTTAGTCCCCTAGGTTTGACATGGGAGATAGTGACTACACTGGTGTCTGACTTTTTTTCCTAGAGATTTCTCCCTGAAAAATACAAGGGCTGTTGGTGAGAGCAGACTTGAGGTGATGATAGTTGGTTGGCCTCTGGTCTACAAAGATTTCGTAACTCCTTGGAAAGCTTCTTCTTATCATTCTTAACTTGTTGGTAGCTAGAAATTTAGAGTAGTTGATATCTGTAGGAATGAACTTCTGAGGGCCAAAAAATGTGACTGACTTGGGAACAATTCTTAAACTGATTAGCTGTAATATAGTTTTGTGAATTTATTGCACTGATGTTGTACCTTGTGGTATATCTGTCCCTATTAAATAAGTGTTTTTTCCTCTTTAATATTGCTGTAAACAGTGGTGCCCATTGTAGCATTTTTTTTTCTTTTTTTAATATTTCATAAGAAAACTACCTTAATTTTACCTTACTTTCATTGTAAATAAGCCTGTCTTCCTATCTGGATTTTTTTTGTGTATACATGTTCTACTGATTAACTACTTTTGCAGTTTTAATCCTGTATTATTCTACTTTGTGTAAAATGGGAAAAAATAAAAAAAGCTGGAATCTTCATGTCTCACTTTCTTTAACTTAGCCAATGTAATATTTACATGATTGGATTTATGAATCTGATTGATGAAGTACCCTGTGTGGTTCTTACGTGTCTGTAAGGTACTCTTTAAGAAATTCCACCACTTTGGGAGACCTGGGCAGGAGGTTCACTGGAGTCCATGAGTTTGAGGTTGCATTGAGCTGAGTGTACCCCTGCACTCTAGCCTGGGCAACAGAGCAGGACCCTATGAAAAATTTTTAAAAAGAACAAAAATAAAAGGTTTAAGTTTATTTATTTACCAAATATTCCAGGCAGCATGCTAGAGGGAAGAGGAAATGCAATGAACGAGCAGGGGCCAACTATGACATGTGAGAGAGGATGAAGCTGGAAGCACCGGCAGGGACAGAACTGGCTAAATGGTTCCTGTGTGGGCACCTTGTACCCCAGGGCCTTGCTAGTGTCTGGTACAAGAGTGCTCAGTAAACAATTCTTGGGTGACTTTTGTCTGAGCTTCACTTATTTTTTAATTAAAAAAATATTTTAGCCAGGTGTGGTGGCTCACGCCTGTAATCCCAGCACCTTGGGAGGCTGAGGTGGGCAGATCACTTGAGGTCAGGAGTTCGAGACCAGCCTGGCCAACATGGTGAAACCCCATCTCTACTAAAAATACAAAAAGTGCCAGGCATGGTGGTGGCGGGTGCCTGTAGTCCCAGCTACTCATGAGGCTGAAGCAGGAGAATCGCTTGAACCCGGGAGGCGGAGGCTGCAGTGCGCCAAGATCGCGCCACTGGACTCCAGCCTGGGTGACAGAGCGAGACTCTGTATCAAAAGTAAAATAAAATAAAAATTAAGGCCCGCGCGGTGGCTCCCGCCTGTAATCCCAGCACCTTCGGAGGCCGAGGTGGGCGGATTGCAAGGTCAGGAGATCAAGAACATCTTCGCCAAAATGGGGAAACCCCATCTCTATTAAAAATACAAAAATTAGCCGGGCGTGGTGGCGCGCGCCTGTAGTCCCAGCTACTCAGGAGGCTGAGGCAGAAGAAATCACTTGAACCCGGGAGTCGGAGGTTGCAGTGAGCCGAGATCACGCCACTGCACTCCAGCCTGGGCTACAAGAGCGGAATTCCATCTCAAAAAAAAAAAAAAAAAAGTAGACGAACCTCCAATGAACTGCTCACTTTGCCTCTCCCAGGCCGCACCGAGGAAGGTCGATTCCATCGACTCTCAACTGCCAACCCCTGAGGAGGCTCCGCCTTTCCCTTCCCCTCCTCCTCCTCCGAGGCGGTGCCTGTTTTTGCCGGTCCTTTGAAAGTCTCGCGATAGTTCTCCCGCTTCCCATAACTCCGTGCGCTCTCCCCTCCCGTTCCCTTTCCGCCATCTTTCCGCGCCGGTGAGTGGCACTCTCTGAGAGCTCCAATTTCATCCGTCTGCCATCGGCGCAATCCTGCAATCTAAGGTTCGGTCTCAGTGTCCTGCGAGGAGGCTGGACCCCTCCTTGGCCGAGGATCCTGGCCTTGCCGGTTCCTGGACAAGCATAGAGGAGAGCCATGCCCGGGCGCCCCAGACTGTGCACTCCGGGGATCCCGGTGCATGGGGTGCAGGCCGCAGCGCTGGCGGGAGCCGGAACCTTCGACTTCCTAGCTAGGCAGTAACTCCGGTTCGGGCCACAGCGTCTGAATCTCCCTGTAGTGCTGAGGCTGCGCCTTGGCCCCGGGCGGCGGGCAGCATCGGGGCTGGTGGGCGGTGCAGCTTCTGGTAGCTGGGGCCGCGCTGGGAGCTTGGGAGGCTGAGGCCACCCGGCAGGTAAAAGCTGCATCGTGCCGCGGTTGGCAGTTTGCTGGGTGCCAATTTGGATCTTCTGGGCCGCGGAGTTTTTCTTTAGACACTTTTGAACTTAAGGGGAGAGATTTAAGTTCTACTCTTTACTATTGGCACTTTGGTCTCCATACTTAAGGGCTTTCAGAACTTCAGTGTATTGTGCCGTCCGTGCCCATTAGAAGAGACTGGACATACTGTCCAGTCTGACAGTATGTAAAATGTTTCTGTTTGCCACTGTGGCACTTGCTGTTGGACGCAATTTTAAATGGTACAAAGATGGATGTTTAGTTTTATTGATGTGTTCATGGTAGGTGAGAGTGAACTGTTCTAAAGTGCAATGTTAATAGTACAGAATCTGCTGATTTTCGACAATTTGGAAAATGTTGCCGATGATACTCTGCTTCTGTTCTGAATCACTGATCGACTATAGCCTATGTTTTCGTTTCGGTAGCTGGCAGTTTCTGCTAGTTCTGTCGTTTTCTTGTGTCAAGTGGATTTTGTCCCACATTTCATTACCTCCAGACGTTGGCGTGTGGCACAATTCAAAGAAGAGTGGTTAGTGAATGAGTGAATTTAAAAATGTGCAGACTGACGTCCCGATAACCTGTTTACAACAACCGTAGTAAATAGGAATTTTCCTGGGTGGTGGGAAATGGAGAAGCAGCCTTCTCAGACTTAAGAAAACTTCGCCAAGGTGGGGCCAGAAAGAAAAGGATACTTCCGAAGTGTGTTGGTTGGTGAGTGTCTGTTGCTGTTGGCAATGCCAGTAAAACCTCCTGTTTTGTCTTCCCTGAACAGCCACAATGGTGCGCATGAATGTCCTGGCTGATGCTCTCAAGAGCATCAACAATGCCGAAAAGAGAGGCAAACGCCAGGTGCTTATTAGGCCGTGCTCCAAAGTCATCGTCCGGTTTCTCACTGTGATGATGAAGCATGGTAAGTCTGCTGCCGCTGTGTTTTATGTTTTGATGTGAGACTCTTTTAAGAAATGAGTCCTGTAGAAATTAATTATGGGGGACCAAAGTATGTCTGTCATACCTGAGAACGAATGCAATTGACTTGTGGGCTGTGGAGGAGGGGATAGTCTGAAACTTCGAAAGAGTCACTTAGAGTAGGACTGCTGGAAGAAGGAGCTCTGCTAGGTATTTGGGAGCTAAATGAAACCAAGTCATTGAAAGGACTCCTGAGCTCATTTCGAGACCAGCCTGGCCAACATGGCAAAACCCCGTCTCTACTAAAAAAAAAAAAATCCCAGCTCTTCAGGAGACTGAGGCAGGGAGAATTGCTTGAACCCGTGAGGTGGAGGCTGCAATGAGCCGAGATCGGCCACTGCACTCCAGCCTGGGCGACAGCACAAGACTCCATCTCAAAAAAAAAAAAAAAAAAAAAAAACCCGAAAGGACTCTTGAGATCTTCTCAGAGCCCCTTGAGAGAAAAGATTGGATTATTGCACTTCTTTGGCACAAGGTAGCCTTTGGGAGTGGGAAGCAGTGAAGGAAGGGTCAAGGGGAAAATAAGTTCTTTCAGAATTGCAAGGTGGATTGTTTTGGGTATTGTCTCCCAAATCTTACGTGTTAGGTTGTAAAAATTAGTTCTGATACAGATCAACTGTCTTCCCCCCAACTTCTTGGAGAAGCAGTCACTGAGGTGATGATGGGAGACTGAAGAATTGGGTAGGCTGGAGCACAGAGGTTTAGCTCTCAAGTTGATGTCTTTTATTTAATCCAGTCAGTTATCTTTTGTAGGTTACATTGGCGAATTTGAAATCATTGATGATCACAGAGCTGGGAAAATTGTTGTGAACCTTACAGGCAGGCTAAACAAGGTAAGAATGAGTGATATACACATTTCAGAGCTTTAAGAATTTTGTAATGTGGCGTTAGATGTTGTAATTGCCTTTGGAAATACTGAGTAGTGGTGCCATACTTGCTTTATCCAGTTACTTTAAAAAGGTTTAAATATTGACACATATAACTTCATTTGTTCTCCTGCATTGATTGTGCTAGAATTATGTCAGTTGACCTAGTGTTTGTATGGGGTATAAGCTGTCTCAGGGGAGATGGGGGGTGAAACCAGCGGCGGTACCGGTATTTAAATATTGGATGTTAACACTACCCACCTCACTGGCTTGAACTTGGGTGGCTCAAGGCCACTGAGCCTTTTGTCCAAGAAGCTGTGTCCTTCCTCTCAGTGATGTGTTGGGTTTTTTGGATGGAATCTTTGAGTAAATGGGGCTTTCATTTTATTTTTTATTTTTATTTTTATTTTTTTTGAGATGGAGTCTGGCTCTGTCGCCCAGGCTGGAGTGCAGTGGCCGGATCTCAGCTCACTGCAAGCTCCGCCTCCCGGGTTTACGCCATTCTCCTGCCTCAGCCTCCGGAGTAGCTGGGACTACAGGCGCCCGCCACCTCGCCCGGCTAGTTTTTTTGTATTTTTTAGTAGAGACGGGGTTTCACCGTGTTAGCCAGGATGGTCTCGATCTCCTGACCTCGTGATCCGCCTGTCTCGGCCTCCCAAAGTGCTGGGATTACAGGCTTGAGCCACCGCGCCCGGCCGTAAATGGGGCTTTCTAAATAGCAATATTAATACTTTTTCTGTTTTTGCTGGCATAGGTCTTTGGGGTCTATGTTGCTTTTCAGTTTGACTTGTCAACACCTTAACCAAGTAAAACTGATTTTGTGGTTTAAGTGATTGCGTGTGTTTTGGGGGCAGGTGTCTAAGCTAGTTGAGGTGTCCACTGTGCTTCCTATCAGGTTTGTAGCTTTCAGATTTGCAAAGAGGCAGATCCTCTAGTCCAAGCTTGTCCAGCCTGCCTAATTTTGTTGTTTTGTTTTAGACTTTTAGCAGCCTGAAACCATGGTGTTTAGTTTCTGTCTCTAGTGATAAATGGAAAAGAGGGATGAAGAGTGGCCTTACTGGCCCAACTAGAAACAGAAACTAAGAGCCCATGTCTGTATTCCCTCCCTTGGACACCCCTGTGTCTACTGCAACAGATGAGGGGAAAGAGACCCAGAAAGTGAGTTGCTGAAGTATTTATTAAAGATTTGAAGAACTGGCTGGGTGCGGTGGCTCACGCCCGTAATCCCAGCACTTTGGGAGGCTGAGGCAGGTGGATCACGAGGTGAGGAGTTTGAGACCAGCCTGGCCAACATGGTGAAATCTCGTCTCTACTAAAAATACAAGAACTAGCCGGGCACAGTGGCGGGCACCTGTAATCCCAGCTACTTGGGAGGCTGAGGCAGGAGAATTGCTTGAACCTGGCAGGCGGAGGTTACAGTGAGCTGGATATCATACCACTGCACTCCAGCCTGGGTGTCAGGGCAAGACTCCGCAAGATTTAAAGAACTTGCAAGAGTAATTTTCAGTATGGTATACTGTGTTTCAGTTGTATGTAGCCGTTAGAACCCCACCTCAAAGTAGGATTTATTTATTTTTATTTGTATTTCTTTTGAGATATTCTTGCTCTGGCCTAGGCTGGAGTGCAGTGGCACCATCTTGGCTCACTGCAGCTTCCCTAGCTCAAGCCATCCTCCCACCTCAGCCTCCTGAGTAGCTGGGAATACTGGTGCATGCCACTATGACTGCTAATTATTTAAAAACTTTTTTGTAGAGGTGGGATCTCGCTATGTTGCTTAGTTTTGTCTTAGACTTCTGGGCTCAAGTGAGCCTCCCACCTCAGCCTCCCAGAGTGCCAGGATTGCAGGCGTGAGTCACTGGGCCCAGCCGAGAAATATTTGAACAGAGCATTCTGTAAATGGAACTCATTTGTGGCACCCTTGTTCTGTGGTGTGCTACTTTAAAAAATTCTAGCCTGTAACAGTTGACATGCAGGCCCTGCTGCTCTGTGCCCTTTTTTTGAGACGGAGTCTCACTCTCACCCAGGCTGGAGTGCAGTGGCACCATCTTGGCCACTGCAACCTCCGTCTCCCAGGTTCAAGCGATTCTCCTACCTCAGCCTCCCTAGTAGCTGGGATTATAGGTGCGTGGCACCATGCCGGGCTAATTTTTGTATCTTTAGTGAAGACGGGGATTTGCCATGTTGGCCAGGCTGGTCTGGAACTCCTGACCTCAGGTGATCCACCGCACCTGGCCTGCTCTGTGTCTTTCGGCAAAGTAAACAATTTTTGGTTTCTTGGAATTTCATTTCTCCCCATTTATAAGAGAATGTCCCCCTCCATCACTTTCATGCAAGACATTGACCTACCCTTAGCGTGGAAATTGAGCTTGGAAGTAAGATAGTGTGTAAAGACTAGATTGATTAACATTCTGGGCTTGATCACATCCTCTTAGGATTCTTCTTAGTTGGGAGAGGGTATGCTGTTTTAATTCTACCACAATGAGAAGGATTTTTGCTGCTGGAATCAACATAAAAACTTGGATGCAGAGTGCGGCAGACTTTGGGGAAGATCTTTCACTACAGTTTGCTTGGACTAAACTAGTTTCCCCATATTTCTGTCCCTGCATTTCTTTCATCTGCTGTGAGATTGGCGTTGTTAGTCAAGTCACAGCATAGCTGATGGGGTAATAGTAGGAGAACTTAAGCAGGCTTCCTGAGCGTAATGCAGTTAGGCCTTTCTGACAAGCCCATTTTCAGTTTCTGTGGGTCAGTCTCTGCTTTTGGAAGTGTTTTTCAAGTGTGCCTGTGATTTTAGAGCAGATTTTGTGAGCAGAGGGTCTTCAGTTAGTGGACATCAGTTGGTGGACTTTCTTCAGTAGTGTTTTAGGGCTGGCATGTAGTTGAGGGATGACAGCCCTTGGTGAGCTCGTACTTGGGAGGATCATTGTTGCCGTGTCCTGGTAGCCACGAGATGAGATAATTGCAAGCCCTTTGCTCTTTCTGCCTTCCATCATTCTGTCACGTTCATTTGGAAAAATTTGCCTGGGGATGTAGGACATTGTTTCTAGGAAACATGTAATGGTACTTCATTGGTGGGAGCAGTGTTCTTAGTTCGCTGCCGGTGCAACGTGTTCCTTAGATATTCTAATAATTTGTAGTTTTTAGCTTATGAGCTTCAGGATTTGAGACCCTACGATTTTATTTCAGCCTTACTATATAAGAAAGGGTTGGCTATAGTCTGTCTTGTCAAGACTTGATCTCTTGGCTATGTAAAATCTGATCATTCTGGACAGTTCTCTAGCCAACAGGGAGCACGCCAGTGGCTGGACACTGCCATGTATTGCCTTGTGCCATTTCTTTTCATGTCTTTGCTTTTTCTAGGCACGTGGTGGGCCTCGTAGGCGGGCATAGTCTTACTTAAGTGTATTTTTTGAAAAGTATGTCAAGAATTGTGCACAGAATAGGTACCCATCTGAATGCTGGTTTGGTTGGTTTGGAGGACTGTTCGTTTATCAATGTCAGCTTGTGTTACTCAGTTTTTCTCTTCATTGGTAAAGTGAAGACTTTTTTTGTTGTTGTTTTTATTTTATAGTGTGGAGTGATCAGCCCCAGATTTGATGTGCAACTCAAAGATCTAGAAAAATGGCAGAATAACCTGCTTCCATCCCGCCAGTTTGGGTAAGTTGGCCTTTCCTTAATTAAAAGAAGTTAGTGCTTAAGAATTGCTGTGGTGCAGTTTGACTTGAGGTTTTTTTTGTTTTTTTTTTTTTCCTTTTTAAATTTGTCTACTCTCAACCATTTTGACCTAATAATTACCTCAAGTGTTACCCATATTTCTTTTTTTTCTCTTTAAATAGAGACAGGGTTGGTCAGGCGCAGTGGCTCACACCTGTGATCCTAGCACTTTGGGAGGCCAAGGCGGGTGGATCACCTGAGGTTGGGAGTTCGAGACCAGCCTGACCAACATGGA